AAGTCAAGAAGAGTGAGGTTATGGCTGGCTCTTTCATTCATTGTTGCTTCTTATTATTGACAATAAGATGATGGAGGAGATGATGACGGAGAGAGAGATGCAATATGAGGGAGAGGTGACATTGGTATCACCTTGTGTTTATCTTATTCTCCTTCATCTTCGGTTCTTCGTTCTTCTTGTCTCAATTCTTCTTCTAGTCTCATTCATTTGAATTGCAATGGAATGGCATTGTCTCTTTGTGAGCTTTTCCACTAAAAGTTGACGAGGGTCATTGTATCACAGCAAGACCTTACATGCTGGTGGACGGGATCAAGCTGCCCTGACCCTAATCCGAGTTAATAAAGACAGGTTCATCTCGAATTAGGGCTGGATGAGGTTGATTAGGGTTGGCGAGTGACTTTGCTGGTACCCCAGCTGTGGCATACTGCGTAGCCACACGGGCCCTGCAGGGCCCGTCCCGGACATTCAGCCTAAAAGCCTAAAACTTAGGGCTTACAGGCCCCAGTCGTTTCAGCCTGAAAGCTGAAAAACGAGGGCCTGCAGGCCCTACTCCGTTTCAGCCTATTTCTGGGTCTTTCAGACCCAGAGGTTTTCCAGCCTGAAACGGAGGGCCATTTTCAGGCCCTCATTGTTTCGACCTGCCCCTAAGACTCAGGCACGTAAACAGGGATGCGGAACAGGCCAGAAATAGCCTGTTCCTCACGAGCTCTCTGCAGCTGCAGCCCCTGCCTCCCTTCGGCATTGGCAAGAGCAGCCTCCTGAACTGCTCGCACGGCTCAGGAGGCACACCCGGTAGTACATAGGAAGTTCCCATGCACTTCACGGGTAGGTAGTTTTCAGTAGGCACGAGTAGTCTTCAGGATTCGGCCGCAGCACTCAGGAGGAGCGCTGCAGTAGTCTTCAGCGCTAGGCAGTAGTAGTAGCGCTAGCTGTAGTCTTCGGCGCTGGGCGCCCATAGCCGTAGCAGTAGTCTTCAGCACTGGGCGCTGGTAGGTGGTAGATCGTAGAGTGAGAGAGATACTGGCGGAGGCCAGTGGTACTTACCTGTGGCGCCATCGCTCCAGCTCCATCTTCGTGGTACCTGCATCAAGTCGCCAACTTCACAGGTTAGTACTGGACACAGAGAGAGAGAGAGAGAGTTCTTCTTCTTCCTCTTCTAAGTCCACCATCTCTTCTCACCCTCTCGCCACCTGACTTCTCGGACTACGACAGAGAGAGAAAGAGTTGTGACTTGAAACTTGACGACATTGGATCCAGACTGGACATTGGGATTCAGACATTTCGACGAGGGACTATTTACCGAGACTTGGTGTTGACGACATTCCCATCTTCCCTCCTCTTTCGTCTAACCCCTCCTTCTTCGTCTGTGTATGGTTGGGGCTGGCGCAGTCTTCTTGTGTGAAGCGCCAGACCCCCTTCACACCGAATAACGATGATGATGATGTGTGTTCAGAGGTGCATTGCAATATTGATTGTTCGGATCATTCGTATCTAAGACTTCCGCTCTGTTATCCTGTACTTTGTATTGAGAGGTCGGTTCTTGTTCTGGTCTGCACGTTACAGTATGCAACAGTTTGGTATCGGAGCGGACCTCTCATTCAGAGGACCCGCTCAATCAAGTAGCCAGCTTGCTGATCTAGTGATCACTCATTAGTAACGCAAGTAGGACTTAGTCAAATCTCT